CCCAGGGAGCAGAAGGAATACTGTAGCCGGTAGTTGGGAACGGAGTGAGTTGTGAACGAGGGAAAGGAGTGATGGAGTGGGAAGAAGAAGTGAACAGACTCTCCATTCATTCCCTCAGCCTTTCAAACAACCCGGGGCTGCCATGACAACCCCTTTATGCGTGTTCCCTAATTACCCTAACCCCTTACACACAGCCACATCCCCTTCCCCCTTCCATGCATACCAACACAGCCAGCTCTCATCCAGTCACTCTGTTTTTCTGCAACGTTGCGAGGTAAAAGTTGTGGAGCGGTACTCACAGCGGGCACCAGGAGTTTCTTGACCTCGTTGATGGCTCGCTGGAGCTTGATCTTGGCGCGGTTGTGCGTGTCCTCCACGGTGATCAGGACGTGGAGGTCCTCGCTGAGGTGCTCCCAGTTGGGCTTTCCTCTGTTCATCTCCTCCTGAAAAAAAAACACCAAAAGTTTTAGGTAAAAAAAGTTCAGGGAGCTTGATTTGAATTCAACACATGAGACTTTAGAACAGGATTTCACTTCTCTTCTTTTGGGTCGCGAACAAACAAACGCACAAAACACTCAAGGTTGTCTAACGCAGCTTTGGAGCAGGTGGGGGGGGGGCACTGAGCTTATGAAACGGCCATATTGTTCCTGGAACCCTCCCTTCACTTCTCCTGATCCATCAAAACGCAGCAGAAAAGATCGCAGGAACCATTTCTTCATGTTTGCATCGTTTTCCTCAATCTAGAAATAAGAAAAAACGTGTTTTTATCCTTAATTTGAGCAGGTAAATCAGATAGTTTGCCAATGGAATGAGTATTTTTACTCTTACAATAAGATAATTAGATAATATGCACTTGAAAAAGACAACGCAGCTGTATTTTCTTATGTTACACTGCAAAAAATCTAAATCTAGATAAGTCATTCTTTCTTTAAATAAGTGCATTTGTTCTTGAATTGATGAGCTAAAAGAAAATTTTGCCAATGGATCAAGATAATGTAGATTTAAAATAAGAAAACACAATTGCATTGTCTTATTTCAAGTGCATGTTATCTAATTATCTTATTGTATGAGTAAAATTACTCATTCCATTGGCAAACTATCTCATTTACCTGCTCAAATTAAGGGTGAATACACTTAATTTAAGAAATTTTTACTTATTTCTAGATAGTTTTTGAAGTGTAAATGTAAATTGTCTTGTTCCATTGGCAAAATATCTGTTTTACCTCCTCAATCCAAGAACAAATGCACTTATTTTAAGAAAAAAAGAAAGACTTATCTAGTTTTTGATTTTTTCCAGTGAGAAAGATCCGACAACAATTTACACACTGGGAAAATAAAATCAAAATGTAGATAAGTCATTATGTCTTAAAATAAGTGCATTTGTTCTTGGATTGAGGAGGTAAGTGAGACACAAAACAATTGCATTGTGTTATTTGAAGTGCATATTATCTAATTATCTTATTTTAAGAGTAAAAATACTCATTCCATTGGCAGATCATCTTATTTATTTACTCAAATTAAGGCTAAATATGCTTAATTTAAGAATTGTTGACTTATTTCTTGATCGTTTTTGCAGTTTACTGCAAAGAACTGAGATCTAGATAAGTATTTTTTTCTTAAAATAAGTGCATTTGTTTTTGGATTGAGGAAGTAAAAGAGACATTTTGCCAATAAAGCAAGACAATTTACATCTAAAATAAAAAAAATACAATTGTATTGTCGTATTTGAAGTGCACATTATCTAATTATTTTATCTTTAGAGTAAAAATACTCCTTCCATTGGCAAACTCTCATTTACTTACTTAAATGAAGGTTAAATACACTTAATTTAAGGAATTTTTCCAGTTTACGCTACAAAAAAATCGATATCTAAATAAATCATTTAAGTGCATTTCGTCTTGAACTGAGCAGGTCAGTAAGACAATTTGCCAAAAAAACAAGACAATTTACATTTAAAACAGGAAAAAACAATTACAGTAACTTTGCATTTGATCTAATTATCTAATTTTAAGAGTAAAAATACCAAATCCATTGGCAAAACATATTATTTAAATGCTTAAATTGAGGATCAATACACTTAATTGTAAAATTTTTACTTATTTCGAGATGGTTTTTGCAGTGTATGTTCTACTGTGCTTTTATGCAAATTTAGTCATCGTTTGAAAGGGATTAAGATCTAAAGATACACATATTTTTATATTTTCTTTTCAGGCCTCCTTCAAGCAATTTCCCTTCTCTGCAGACTGGCTTTGTGACATGGGGCATCTATAATGAGAAAAAAACACTGTATGCATACCGGGGGGGGGTTACCATTAGGCAAAACCAGGCAGTCACCTAGGGCCCCATGTTCCTGGGGGCCCCATAAAACTCTGTTTATAGTATGGTTAATACAGCTATTCCTTATTTGTGCACATTAATTATGCTTTTAATAAAAATATTTTCACTAAAATGCCATCAGAACACTGATAATATTAAATGTGTCTCAGCCCACCCCCTTCAGTGTCCGCCATATTGGATCAGTCCATTTGCTGCACATGTTCAGAAAGGTCCAAACAGACAGCAGCAAACCATTTGAAAACAAACCACGCAAAGAGCAGTGTTGCCAACTTAGCGCTTTAGTCGCTATATTTAGCCACTTTTCAGACCCCTCTAGCACTTTGATTTCTAAAAAGCTCCTAGCGCCAAATCTAGAGACTTTTTTCTGCTACTGGAGACTTTGGAGACAACATCTAAAAGCAGCGAACTCTGCTCTCCAGAGCGAGTAGATTGGTAACCCCGCCTCCTGCTCTCCTCTATCTTGTCTGCTGTCATGATTCATGCAGCTATTATTTCATCCAAATGAAAAATGGAGAACAGATAAGCAGATCATGGCTTGTCTACAGTGAAAAGAAGGACTGGGTTATTTACTTTGGCCTTTTTGGAAACACAGGAAGGAGCAATCAGCTAAGTGAGCTTAGTGCTTGGAAAAAATCTTTCATTCCTTTAGAGACAGCAGGAAAAGTCAGCTGAGTACAAAACATAGAGAGGAAAACAAGAAGAAAAGGGACAAGAAGAGAGGGACACAACCTAGAACAGATAATGGATGTCTATTCTATTAACATTTCTCTATTTGGAGAATGGGGCTGTTTATGTGTTGTCTTCTCAGTTCAGAGGGCCCCAGACTAAATCCGCCCCTGCACGCAGCATATCAGCCTGGACATGGGTCAGCTGAAGGTTTGACTTTTCTCTTTGAGAAATTGCGTATATTTACATTCAGAGCAGGGAGGCCAGGATCGGATCTCATATGGAGACTCAGGACAGATGTTGAGACACATTCCAGCTCCAGACGTGAACCGAAGCTCTCAGCTGTCAGCTCACTGCAAAAATTAAAATCTAAACTTGAAATATGTTTATCTGCCCTTCATTTGATCAGGTAAGTAAAACAATTTGCCGTAGAATAAGGTGCATAAATGCTTGTTCCAGTGGTGAATCCTCCTTTTCAGCTGCCCTCTCAGGGAAAGTGCAGGAATTTCAGGAAACGTTTCTGTATTTTATGTCAGGTTTGTTGTTGGGTGACCAGAGATGATGGAGGATCATTAGATAACCTTACAGTCTGCTTCCTGCAGCGACTCGGGACGTCGAGTTCCCGCCTCCAGCATCTCTGAGTCTTACTACTAACAGGAAGTTAGTGGAGAATCAAAGCGAGGCAGAGAAGCAGCAGTAAACTATGAATGCTGTATCTCTGCTTGGCCTCCCTGCAAACGTTTTCCTCTCAGGCTGTTTTGTCAAGCGAGATGCTTCATTCTGAGGAGCGCTGAAAGTCAACATCTTTTTCTCTTCTCCCCCAGCTGCCTCCCACCACGACTCTGTTTTCCTTCCTTTCTGTCTCTGCGTGTTTCTCTGCGTGTCTCCCTCTGAGGGGCGTGCAGGGTAGGGAATGTTCTGGAGAGTAGAAAAGAGAGAGGGGGGGGGGGGGGTGGAGGTGGTGGAGGAATGCTGGACTTGCTCCACCTGCCGTTTGGAAAAGCTGGAGCCGACCGGGTCCAAAAGCAGACACCAGGGGAGAGAGGGAGGGGGGGACAGATGGACCGAACACCAGGACAGGAAAGAGTTCAGCTCTGGAGGATAAACACGGGTCCTTGGAAAAGAATTCACGCCCCTTGGATGGTTTTTTTCCTACATTTCGTCTTAAAACCACCAACTTCAAAGTATTTTATCAGGAAATAATGCGCTGGAAAAATCAAAATCTAAATAAGTAATTTTTTCTTAAAATAAGTGCATTTGTTCTTGAATTGAGGAGATAAAAAGGGACATTTTGCCAACGGAACAAGATTTAGATTTAAAATAAGAAAATAAAATTGTCTTATTTCAAGTGCATTTTATCTAATTTTCTTATTTTAAAGGAAAATTCCGGTTTTTAACACTTTTAGCCCATTTTCTGTAGTGTCCAGGATGAAATCGAATGATCGACACCAAAATGTTGACAATTGGTCCTGTCTCTGCTATTTGGCTCATGCAGAATCCCCCCCTGACTACTTCAGAATGGCTTCCATAGTGCATGTCCGATAATGTCCTTAAAACAACCTTAAACATTCTTTTTGTAAAATGTGCTACTCACCGGGTCGTCAGCGCTGTTCAATGACGTTCCAAAAAAAGTTTCGTAAAGAAAAAACGTTCCTGTAGTGTTTTATTTAGCATTTTGTAAATCCCATTGAGTTCTGTTGCAATAGTCAATATCCCTCCGCCACCGGAAACGGAAATGGGGCCTGTTTACGCTTAGTTGTAGTCTTTTCGCAAGGCCCAAGTGTTTCTGCTTCACTCTGTGTACTCCGACGTCGAGGTGCTAACGTCTCTGTTAAACACTTTAAAACACTCTGAAAATGGAATACGAAAGGTGGATTCTTGAGGAGGACATATTGGACTTTGAGTTTGATGGTAGAGGATACCGTCGCCAACTAGTGGTCTGGAGTGTGCAACGCTTCAGATTCGAACGGGAAGCGGAAGTTTATAAGCGGTTGTGATGTATCCGAAGAAATAGTTCTGGGATTTACAAAATGCTAAATAAAACAAGACAGGAACGGTTTTTCTTCACGAAACTTTTTTTGGAACGTCATTGAACAGCGCTGACGACTCGGTGAGTAGCATATTTTAAAAAAAGAACGTTTAAGGTTGTTTTAAGGCCATTATCGGACATGCACTATGGAAGCCATTCTGAAGCAGCCAGGGGGGGATTCTGCATGAGCCAAAAAGCAGAGACAGGACCAATCGTCAACATTTTGGTGTCGATCATTCGATTTCATCCTGGACACTACAGAAAATGGGCTAAAAGTGTTAAAAACCGGAATTTTCCTTTAAGAGCAAACGTACTCATTCCATTGGCAAACTATCTCATTTATCTACTTAAATTAAGGGTAAATACACATAATTTAAGACATTTCTACTCATTTTTAGATCCTTTTTCCAGTGTGCATTCAACCCATCCTCTTGGGGAGCAGTGGGCTGCCATTGTGGGGCGCCCCGGGAGCAGCGTGGGGTTAAGGGTCTTTGCTCAGGGACCCAGAGCGGCAGTCTGTGGGAGTGGGACTCAAACTCAGAACTAGGGGTGTAAATCACATCCATCATGGCGATTCGATTCAGTATCGATTTCCTGACCCAACGATTCGATTATTTTCGATACACAAGAATACACCACGATACGATTCAATTAATCGATTAATTTTTTTATTATTTTTTTTTTTTTACACCTTACAGGCTAAACAAAGTTTCAAGTTTGAAATAAATCAATGAAAGCTGTAATATCGTTATGCATTTTTTTTGAGAAACTACAGAAAATAACTGAAGTAGAAAAGTTGTACTCCACCTATTCCTATTAAAATCTCATTCACTAAAAAATAATAATACCTCTGCGTTATAGATTCAGCAAGGCTTTGCATCAATAAATACTGCACAAAATCAGTGCAATGCAATACCTGGGCTCCAGACGTCCCGCCCCCTCCACAGACGCTCCACTGCTCCTCTCCCAGATTGTAGCTGACCGCAGACAGGAGGCCGGCTTGTTTTGTTTTTATGACCGAAATTGCGGAAAACAACTCGTGAAGTTTGACCCGCTAGAAGAGCGAGGTGCGCGAGAACGCTGGGACCCTTTTTCCACCTGGATCTCCGCTCTTTTTGGCCCTCATGTCCCTCCGTCGTCGGACTAAACTCGCCCCCACTTCCTCGCTGCCTCGGCCGTATCTAGACCCACAGCGTGTAGCTCAGACCACGCTTCAATATTGAGCATAATTTAAAAATGTCTGCATCAAGCTCACTGCAACACACTGCTGTAAGAGTATAACCAGGAAGCGAGGTAGGAGGGCAAAATAGGTTTAGCGCCACCGCAGCACGGGAGGAGAATTACGTCCAGGAGAAAATGGATAAAAATAGACCGGAGGGAAAAAAAAAATGAGTCGATTTTCTTGCGGACGTGTCGATGCATCGGATCGTCGGCTGTTGTATCGATGCATCGATACAAAACGATTATTATTTACACCCCTACTCAGAACCTCAGGATTCCAACCTCTATGCCCCGACCACTAGACCGCCACTCTCCCGTCACTTTAAGCCGGGCAGACACCGTACGAGTTTTTCAATGGGGCCGAGTTTCAGCCTGACGGTGCGTCTTGTACTATACAGGCGGTAACGAGGGGCGATCAGCCTGTAACGACCACCCCCCCCATCAGGAATCGTAAGGTCTGGACAAAATCAAACGTTTGAAATCCAGTCGTGTTGGTGGGCAAATCCTGCTGCGAAGCAGAACTACAAGCCGATTTACCAGAACCACGGCACATATGCAAACAAGTTCTTCTTCTTCCAGATTAACGAGTCCGACCAGCGCCATCTCTCAGCGCTGAGTCCGACGTGTGGTTTTTAGACGTGCAGTGAGCAGGTAGATGGCATCACAGCGTCGGGTCGCACAGTGTGAGATCAAACATCGTGAGCTGTGAGCTTTTAAACTCTGCAGGTTTGGTCGTAGCTGCGTGCAACGATTGAAAATATGGCACAGTGTGTGCCTGGCTTTAAGGACTGAAGACGTGACGACGACTTTTCCCTTAATCACGTGAAACTTGCCTCAGACTTGCGCCTTAAACAGTTGATTAACAAACTGGTCTCTTAAAACTTGGAATTTAACTTGGATCTGTTTCTAAATATTGAGACCAGACTCTGACTTTTCCCTTCGGTTCGACCTACAGCTACCAAACAAAGACTAGAAACTGAGCTTTAACTCGCCTCCTCTCAACCTGAGGGAGAACTGACTCAGCTCAAACAGGATGAAGGACTTGGACTTGGGCTTAACATTGGAATAATTCTGGATTCTTATCAGATGTAGAGCTAAAGCCTAATTACAGTAAAGTGGATAGATTGCCAAAAACGAAGATTTTAAATGGCAATCTCACCTCCCATTCAGACACAAAACAGGTTTTTGTTGGAAAATAACTATTTATCCCGTTACTGCACGGAATATCTGCGAACGCTAACCAGTAGGAGCTGTTTGTCAGCCATGTTTATCCTTCCTGAGCTGCTGGCATTATGGGCTAAATGATGTCATTCAGCCGTGAAGATCGAATGACATCATCAGTCAAGCTTTCTTCCTCTTTGCAATTATCGTTTCATCAATGCTAACAATGCTGGTGAGGCATTAAATAAGCATTACTGCGTTTATTTCTCTAAACTGGAGAGAGAAATATCCTGAGTAGAGCGGGGGGGCGTATCCTAAACAGGGTTCCTACAGCATAAGACAAGATAAATTGAAGACTTTTTAATGCCAATTGAAATAAAAATTTAAGACCAAATTCACAAGAAAAACCCTCTTGCGACAATTTAACCCAAAGGTTTATTTTAACATAAACCACTGCACTAAAGTTTCAAATTTTGAAAAGCTTCCCATACAGGAAGAAAGGTAAAAACACACATTTTTTTTTTTTTTTTTACAAAAAAAGGTCAATTTTAATGTTTTATTTAGATTACACAAATAAATCATAATAAAAATAATCCTATTTATGATGTTTTAACAATTAAGACCTACAAAAGACTGATTTAAGACATTTTATTTTGTTTTATTTTGAAGAATTCAATAACTTTTAAGACTTTTTAAGGACCCGCGGGAACCCTGCTAAATCTATCATAAATGGAGACCTATTTATCGCAGGTCTGATCGCAGAGGTTTTGTTTTGAGTTTAGGGGAATAACATCTCTAAACTGGATCTGATTTTAGTAAAAAAAATCCTAAAAGGGCTAAAACAGAAAACTAAATGGCAGCGTTGTGTTTTCAGTAGAGATTGAACGAAACATTCTCTGGACAATATTTTTTTAATTTTTCCATTTTTTTCTGCCTCCAACAGCGGATATTTGCGAACGTTGGCCGAATTATTACTCAATTAATTTTCTTTGATTTGTTAATAAAGGTTTATTTTGCAATAAATTGAAACATTTCTAACATTTATTATCATTGTGTCCTTTTTATCATTTAGATCGAGGAAGAAGAAGAATCAAGAGATAATGTCAGGGATTGGCAGGGGCGGAGCTAGATGGGGGGCCAGGGGTGGACAAGGCCCACCCCTGGCCCCCCTACCATTTTTTCCCTCTAATATAGATTGTGGGAGCACTAATACTCTCAAGTGAAATATTCTAAACATATTAATTTTTCATAAATTATCAATAACTTGACAACAAAAACCACTTTGGTTGATTTTGCACATCAATATATTAACATTAAAGATGATAAATACAGAATTAATGCTCTTTTCAGAACTAGGTTTTGTGTTTTATGGGATAAAGATAAAATGATGCATCTCTGCAAGTCATCTAGGAGTCTTCAGTGAAATCATAGATAAATATTTTAATAAAAACGTATTAAGTAATTAATTTAGTGCTTGTAAATATCAATTTTATGCAAAATGATTATTGCTAAAAGTAGGTAAGTAATGACAATGGAAAAGATTTTTTCCCCGGAACTCAAACCTGAAGGAACTTTAACCGATATACCTTTTATCCAGGAAGCACGGATGTTTAAATATATTTGTTAGCAAAGGCTGTAGGAAAATATAATCTGTCTTTATTTGGAAAATATGGATGATTGGTCATTTTTCAGTTGGAACAGTGTAGCTTGACCCTGAGGTTCTGGTGCCAATCCGCTTTCGCCCCCCCTTCAGTGTTCATTGGTTATTGCCTGGCCACCGTTATTAAAATGTTCTGGTTACGCCTCTGGGGATCGGTGAGACAGATGTCAAAATGTTCGCCCTAAAAACGCCGGTATCAGTGGATCTGTGGTCGTTGGACATGTTTACCTTCTTCTTGTCTCTCATGGAGCCTTTTCCTCGCACCATGATCTTGCAGCCGGTCTCTGCCTCCAGCTGTTTGGCTGTCAGGCCGCGGGGGCCCAGGATCCGACCTACAAAATTGAACTACGGGAAAAAGCGAAAAATTATAACATGAACAAAAGCTGCATGAAGGGGGTGAAGGTGGGGGGGTCACGCTGTCCATCTCAGGCCAAAGTTGTCTTTTTTTAAACGTGTGTGTGGGCCTACGGATGCCTGCGGGGTTTGTGTGGCTGACAAGTGTTTGTGTTACTAAGAGAGACAGAAATAGCTGATTATGTGTTCGCTGGCTGGTGTTGGTGGCATGACGGCACGCCGCCGTTCCCTCAACCTTATCTGTCACCAAGTCTGACTGATTAACCTGACAGCTGCCCCTTCGTATGCCTGCCACTTATTCCTATATTTCTCTGCCTCCTCTTTCACAAAAATCCTGCCATCATTTTCCCCTCTTTTTATTTTTCTGTTAAAGTTCCCTGAACGTGTTCTGCCATTTACTGCGACCCGCTCTGACCCCCCACCGTCCGCCGCGATAAACCAGACAGAGGTCGGCTCTCTAAATTTAACCTTCATGTCAAGGGTTTTCCAATGGACTCCTGCGTGCGTCCTGTTAGCCCGCCGTCATGTGAGCCAGGACAGCCCGCCACTGTAGTGGCTGATTGGCGAGCTGATGCATGGCGAGCATCATGTGAGCCACGCTATGTCCGTCCAACAGCTCCAACTTTTCTCTTTTTTTCTTCTTATTTTGCTTTTTGGAAAGTTACATTCTAATGTTTCAGGTCATCAAACATTATTTTATTACAAAGAGAATTTTTTTAGACGGTGATAAGATTTAAGAAGGAAATAGATCTATAAAGCAGCGTGGTGGGGAAGTATTTACCTCTAAACCTCACAGACTCAGCCGCCATTAAGATTTGGAAAACCAGAGGTATCTAAAGTATTAATGTTTATTACTCCAGTATAAACCCGACTATTTAAAAATACTTTTTTTAGAAGTTAGAGGATCAACTTTAGCTTTTTACTCCAGTAAAAGTGTAAAAAGTACAATTTTTAAAACTACTTCAAGGATAAAAGTAAAAGTAGTGACAGAAGCTTTACTACGGAAGAGGATTAGGGCCACTGAGAAAAAAAAGTTACCTGATTTTTAAATTTTATTTCTGTTTAACATGGGAAAAAAGTCAGAATTCTAACTTTTTTCTGAGAATTCTGACCTTTTTCTCAGAATTCTGACTTTTTACTTTAATGTCAGAATTCTGACTTTTTTCTCAGAATTCTGACTTTTTACTTTAATGTCAGAATTCTGACTTTTTTCTCAGAATTCTGACCTTTTTCTCAGAATTCTGACCTTTTTCTCAGAATTCTGACTTTTTACTTTAATGTCAGAATTCTGACTTTTTTCTCAGAATTCTGACTTTTTTCTCAGAATTCTGACCTTTTTCTCAGAATTCTGACTTTTTACTTTAATGTCAGAATTCTGACTTTTTTCTGAGAATTCTGACCTTTTTCTCAGAATTCTGACTTTTTACTTTAATGTCAGAATTCTGACTTTTTTCTCAGAATTCTGACTTTTTACTTTAATGTCAGAATTCTGACTTTTTTCTCAGAATTCTGACTTTTTTCTCAGAATTCTGACCTTTTTCTCAGAATTCTGACTTTTTACTTTAATGTCAGAATTCTGACTTTTTTCTCAGAATTCTGACTTTTTACTTTAATGTCAGAATTCTGACTTTTTTCTCAGAATTCTGACTTTTTTCTCAGAATTCTGACCTTTTTCTCAGAATTCTGACTTTTTACTTTAATGTCAGAATTCTGACTTTTTTCTCAGAATTCTGACTTTTTTCTCAGAATTCTGACCTTTTTCTCAGAATTCTGACTTTTTACTTTAATGTCAGAATTCTGACTTTTTTCTCAGAATTCTGACTTTTTACTTTAATGTCAGAATTCTGACTTTTTTCTCAGAATTCTGACTTTTTACTTTAATGTCAGAATTCTGACTTTTTTCTCAGAATTCTGACTTTTTTCTCAGAATTCTGACCTTTTTCTCAGAATTCTGACTTTTTACTTTAATGTCAGAATTCTGACTTTTTACTTTAATCTCAGAATTCTGACTTTTTTCTCAGAATTCTGACCTTTTTCTCAGAATTCTGACTTTTTTCTCAGAATTCTGACTTTTTTCTCAGAATTCTGACCTTTTTCTCAGAATTCTGACTTTTTACTTTAATGTCAGAATTCTGAGAAAAAAGTCAGAATTCTGACTTTTTTCTCAGAATTCTGACTTTTTTCTCAGAATTTTGACTTTTTACTTTAATGTCAGAATTCTGACTTTTTTCTCAGAATTCTGACTTTTTACTTTAATGTCAGAATTCTGACTTTTTTCTCAGAATTCTGACTTTTTACTTTAATGTCAGAATTCTGACTTTTTTCTCAGAATTCTGACTTTTTACTTTAATGTCAGAATTCTGACTTTTTTCTCAGAATTCTGACTTTTTTCTCAGAATTCTGACTTTTTACTTTAATGTCAGAATTCTGACTTTTTACTTTAATGTCAGAATTCTGACTTTTTTCTCAGAATTCTGACCTTTTTCTCAGAATTCTGACTTTTTACTTTAATGTCAGAATTCTGACTTTTTACTTTAATGTCAGAATTCTGACTTTTTTCTCAGAATTCTGACCTTTTTCTCAGAATTCTGACTTTTTACTTTAATGTCAGAATTCTGACTTTTTACTTTAATGTCAGAATTCTGACTTTTTACTTTAATGTCAGAATTCTGACTTTTTTCTCAGAATTCTGACCTTTTTCTCAGAATTCTGACTTTTTACTTTAATGTCAGAATTCTGACTTTTTACTTTAATGTCAGAATTCTGACTTTTTTCTCAGAATTCTGACTTTACTTTAATGTCAGAATTCTGACTTTTTTCTGAGAATTCTGACTTTTTTCTCAGAATTCTGACTTTACTTTAATGTCAGAATTCTGACTTTTTTCTCAGAATTCTGACTTTTTTCTCAGAATTCTGACCTTTTTCTCAGAATTCTGACTTTTTACTTTAATGTCAGAATTCTGACTTTTTACTTTAATGTCAGAATTCTGACTTTTTTCTCAGAATTCTGACCTTTTTCTCAGAATTCTGACTTTTTACTTTAATGTCAGAATTCTGACTTTTTACTTTAATGTCAGAATTCTGACTTTTTACTTTAATGTCAGAATTCTGACTTTTTTCTCAGAATTCTGACCTTTTTCTCAGAATTCTGACTTTTTACTTTAATGTCAGAATTCTGACTTTTTACTTTAATGTCAGAATTCTGACTTTTTTCTCAGAATTCTGACTTTACTTTAATGTCAGAATTCTGACTTTTTTCTGAGAATTCTGACTTTTTTCTCAGAATTCTGACTTTTTTCTCAGAATTCTGACTTTTTACTTTAATGTCAGAATTCTCACTTTTTTCTCAGAATTCTGACTTTTTTCTCAGAATTCTGACCTTTTTCTCAGAATTCTGACTTTTTACTTTAATGTCAGAATTCTCACTTTTTTCTGAGAATTCTGACTTTTTTCTCAGAATTCTGACCTTTTTCTCAGAATTCTGACTTTTTACTTTAATGTCAGAATTCTGACTTTTTACTTTAATGTCAGAATTCTGACTTTTTTCTCAGAATTCTGACTTTTTTCTCAGAATTCTGACCTTTTTCTCAGAATTCTGACTTTTTACTTTAATGTCAGAATTCTGACTTTTTTCTCAGAATTCTGACTTTTTACTTTAATGTCAGAATTCTGACTTTTTACTTTAATGTCAGAAATCTGACTTTTTTCTCAGAATTCTGACCTTTTTCTCAGAATTCTGACTTTTTACTTTAATGTCAGAATTCTCACTTTTTTCTGAGAATTCTGACTTTTTTCTCAGAATTCTGACCTTTTTCTCAGAATTCTGACTTTTTACTTTAATGTCAGAATTCTGACTTTTTACTTTAATGTCAGAATTCTGACTTTTTTCTCAGAATTCTGACTTTTTACTTTAATGTCAGAATTCTGACTTTTTTCTCAGAATTCTGACTTTTTTCTCAGAATTCTGACCTTTTTCTCAGAATTCTGACTTTTTACTTTAATGTCAGAATTCTGACTTTTTTCTCAGAATTCTGACTTTTTACTTTAATGTCAGAATTCTGACTTTTTACTTTAATGTCAGAATTCTGACTTTTTTCTCAGAATTCTGACTTTTTTCTCAGAATTCTGACCTTTTTCTCAGAATTCTGACTTTTTACTTTAATGGCAGAATTCTGACTTTTTACTTTAATGTCAGAATTCTGACTTTTTTCTCAGAATTCTGACCTTTTTCTCAGAATTCTGACTTTTTACTTTAATGTCAGAATTCTGACTTTTTACTTTAATGTCAGAATTCTGACTTTTTTCTCAGAATTCTGACTTTTTTCTCAGAATTCTGACTTTAATCTCAGAATTCTGACTTTTTTTCTCATAATTCTGACTTTAATCTCATAATTCTGACTTTTTTCTCAGAATTCTGACTTTTTTCTCAGAATTCTGACTTTTTACTTTAATCTCAGAATTCTGACTTTTTTCTCATAATTCTGACTTTTTACTTTAATCTCATAATTCTGACTTTTTTCTCAGAATTCTGACTTTTTTTATTGTCAGAATTCTGAGATTAAAGTCAGAATTCTGACTTTTTTTATTGTCAGAATTCTGAGATTAAAGTCAGAATTCTGAGAAAAAAGTCAGAATTCTCAGAAAAAAGTCAGAATTCTGAGATTAAAGTCAGAATTCTGAGATTAAAGTAAAAAGTCAGAATTCTGACTTTTTTTATTGTCAGAATTCTGACATTAAAGTCAGAATTCTCAGAAAAAAGTCAGAATTCTGAGATTAAAGTCAGAATTCTGAGATTAAAGTCAGAATTCTCAGAAAAAAGTCAGAATTCTGAGATTAAAGTCAGAATTCTGACTTTTTCCCCATACCAAACTGAAATAAAATTTAAAAATCAGCTAACTTATTTTTTTTTCAGTGGCCCTAATCCTCTTCCATACTTTACTGCACTACCCTATTATAGGACATTTTTAATATATAATTCTGGATGATAACTTCCTTCTATTTCATTTTCCTAGCTTTATAACTAATGCAAACAGGGTCAACTTTAACTTTGAATCTCCACATTCCAAAATAAATAATTTATTTTGATAAGAGGAGCGTTCAATAAGTAATGCCCCTGACCCATTTTCAGTTGTTTGATCTTGCTGAAACTTTGCACGTGTAATTATTTATATCTCTATAGATTAAGGGGTAAATTACAGCTCTGAACTAAATGTGGTTTCTGATTTACAGGCGTTTGAATCGAGTCATGTCAAAGTGAGCCTGTTGAGTGTGGAGCAGTGATCCACGCACCACAGGAGACTTTGGATGAAATGAAACTTAAGGTGATGATGCCCCATCGCATGACCTTATAAGGTCATGCGATGGGGCATCATCACCATAAGCAATACATACATAAAATACACCATAGGATGGGGCATCATCAGCATAAGTTATGTGGTGAGCGTCCTTTCAAATACAAAAACCGGCTCACTGCTCGACACTCAACAGGCTTCATTTCAGACTCGACTCGGTTCAAACGCCTTAAAATCAGAAATGGGAAATGAGAAATATCAGCTGTGCTGCTGCCATCAACACCTTTGTTTCTAGATGTTGGAGCTTGGCCTGTTTTCCAGTGTAGTCCTGTTTCTCTGACTGTGACTAACTGGATGTGCTCTCTTCATCCTCTGACATGGGAGCTGGCTCGGAGCTCGTCTGCCTGGCTGTGTGTTTCCTGGACGGGGCCGCCTGTGGAGCTGGTTGACAGTTGCCTTTTGTATCTATGCTTCTTTTTCTATGTCTGCTTCTGTCTCCTTGAACCCCAGTGGGCCTCAGCAGATGGCCGCTCACACTGAGCCTGGTTCTGCTGGAGGTTTCTTCCTGCTAAAAGGGAGTTTTTCCTCTCCACTGTCGCTACAGGCATGCTTACACAGAAAAAATCTATATCTTGATAAGTCATTTTTTCTAAAAATAAGAGCAAAAATAAGTGGAACAAGACAATTTACATTTAAAATAAGAAAACACAATTGCATTCTCTTATTTCAAGTGAATATTATCTAATTATCTTATTTAAGAGTAAAAATATGGATTCCATTGCAAACTATCTCGTTTACCTACTCAAATCAAGGGTAAATATCTTTTCTTATTTCTAGATCATTTTTCCAGTGTAGTGTGAGGGATTGCTGAAGAGTCAATGAGTCGATGCAATCAGCTGGTTTTCCTTAGATAGAAAACTTTGAATCAATCTGACTGGATGATCTGGTTGAACTGGAAAGTGACCTGAGATGACATGATGTGAATTGGAGCTATAGAAATAAACTGAATAGAATAATCAATTTAAAACTGTAATTTTCCACTTAATCTATAGAGATATAAATAATTGCCCATGCAAAGTTTCAATTGGATCAAACAACTTGAAGTGGGTCAGGGGCATTACTTATTGAAAGTATTAAAATAAACTATTTATTTTGGTACGTGGTGAGCAACAAGTTGGGGCAGCACTGAGTCCAACAAAAAGGAAATTCATTGACTGGATAAAACTAATTATTTTGATGTTTTTAATTTTTTTTAAATACCAACAGGCCAGAAAGAAAATGAGCTTAAATGAGAGAAAACTAATGACACTTTTTTTTTAAATGTAAAACATAATTCCTCCAGTAAAGTACAGATAGCCAACATTTCTACTGAAGTAAGGAAGTATTTCTTCTTTCTTACATGACGCCTCCGTGAGAAAACAGATCACTATTGCTTTAAATCAGCTCCAGTTGCAGACTGGGTAATGTTTGCTTTGACTAGGCCGTTCTAGTTCCACCAAGTGATCCGGATCCAGAAGCGTCTCCATCCTGATCCACTGCTTTAGTCATTTATTGATTTTTTTTGCCTACTTCATGATGTGAAACAGGTTCTGCCTCATGTGTTTCTTAACTAAGGCCAAATTCATGATCTTTATTATTTACAATAAAAACCTGCTCTCAGTTTTCACTTTAGTTGTCTTTGCTTTCAGAATTAGTTTGGTTTTAAATGAGGAGCAGTGATAATAAAATGTAAATACTAAATGCATAATTTAGAGGACCTGTTTTACTGAAAACATGCAGAATGAATCTTCAGGTAAAGTTATGTCTTTCTATTCAATCTAATCCCGGTGGAGTCGCTGGCGCTGCTGCCTTATTGACCCGTTTAGGCCTAGATTACATCACAGATGATCTCAGAATGAAATCAGCTCTCAGATAAAATTCCCAGTCCCTGTGATTAACGGCCACGCTGACCCTCTGCAGCTCCTCGCTTTGGCTTAGAACAGATAAGGAGACAACAGAGCAAGGTAAACAGGATCTCTGCTTAAAAAAGAGAAAAAAAGGGTCAAAGGTCTCAGATTGTTGTCAACTCACGTCGGGGTATTCTTTGACAGGAACGTAGAGCTTCTCCTGCAGCTGAGCCACGGGGCCGATGGCCTCGGGGAGCTCCTCCATGTCCCGCCCGTTGAACATGCCGCCGTTTAGCGTGTCGTTGTACATGTCCTTGCGCACCCTGCCGATCTCTGGAGCACAGGGAGGTGAGATCAGAAAAAGGAAATAAATAAAGAAGGGTTATGTCGTGAGATGGTTTCCTCTTCTTTCTGCCAAAGGCGATGACTCACTGTGACCAATTTACAGGAAACTCTGACTGCCGTGACTGAATGACACAAAGAACTGCAATCACAAGTATTCTGCACCACCGTGTTGAATCTAACAATCAGACCTGCAGAGGCGTCGCTCGTTCTGGTTTCAAACCCTTCCGTCTTCTTCAGGCCTCAGAGTCCATTAGTCTATAACTTCTAGTATTAAAAAAGTCTGATGCAGCCCTTTGGTCTACAAATCAGTCGCTGCAGTCGGCCTGAGCCACGCTAAAACAAATGCTGTTCTAAAAATACAACTTATCCACAGTCAGAAAGCCTGGTGTTGCACCACAGTTACCCCAAATAGAGCAACTGTGCTGCTGAAAAGCACAAAGTAACGGCGTTTAGTTTGACTCTGAGGAGAGGAGCCGGGCAGACCAACACCGCTTGGTGGTTTTATTGCAGCCTGGCCTTCTGGTTCTGACTTAGACTGATTCTGAATTAGTTTCCAAAGATTATAAGGCATAAAAAGGAACTCTTCAAAGTCTTTGATGTAGCTAGTATTTTAAAATCACATATAAAATCACATTAGATTAGCCTGCATTTGACTCTGGTGAACTTAAAGAAATGCCAAACATGTCAAAGTCTTAAACTTCCAAATGGGCGTGCAGGTCGTGCAATGGCTTGGTCTTCGACGCAGCCGACCCGGGTTCGAATCCGGCCTGTCGTCCTTTGCTGCATGTCTTTCCAGCTTTCCTGACAGCCTACTGTCAGAAAAACGAGCCACTAGAGCCGTTAAAAAATAAATAAACTTCCCGTCATTTAAATGAAATGCTAACGAGAGCTAGCATTGCCTTTTTTCCCTCACTTATAAGGCAGATTCGACTTTTTATCGGCTGATTTGCCTTTTTTTTATTTATACTCCGTTTATAAAATTTAAAATTGATATTGCAATAAAATAAACCACAATCTCCTTTAAATAATAAACATAGCACTATTAAAGTAGAGCTATAGCGATCCGATTTATCCAGTCGATACCTTTGCTGCTACCTCAGGCTGAATGAACGGTAGAACTCAGCGTGAAAGTGAAGATCTCAGGCTTGATATAAACATTGTTTGAAAAATTATGATAAATTAGCACAGATAGAAATAATCTGGCAGCTGTGCTGCTTGTTGTCAGGAGGTTACCGGTGTTCTGTCAGACCAGCATACCCCGTCAGACCAGCATACCCCATCAGACCGGCATATCCCGTCACCTCAGATCAGCATACCCTGTCAGACCAGCATACCCCGTCACGTCAGATCAGCATACCCCGTCAGACCAACATACCCCGTCAGACCAACATACCCCGTCAGACCAGCATACCCCGTCATGTCAGATCAGCATACCCTCTCAGACCAACATACCCCGTCAGATCAGCATACCCCATCAGACCAACATACCCCGTCAGACCAGCATACCCCGTTAGATCAGCATACCCCGTCAGACCAGCATACCCCATCACGTCAGATCAGCATACCCCGTCAGACCAACATACCCCGTCAGACCAGCATACCCCGTCAGATCAGCATACCCCGTCAGATCAGCATACCCCGTCAGACCAATATACCCCGTCAGACCAACATACCCCGTCAGACCAACATACCCCGTCAGATCAGCATACCCCATCAGACCAACATACCCCGTCAGACCAGCATACCCCGTTAGATCAGCATACCCCGTCAGACCAGCATACCCCATCACGTCAGATCAGCATACCCCGTCAGACCAACATACCCCGTCAGACCAGCATACCCCGTCAGATCAGCATACCCCGTCAGACCAGCATACCCCGTCAGATCAGCATACCCCGTCAGACCAGCATACCCCGTCAGATCAACATACCCCGTCAGACCAGCATACCCCGTCAGATCAGCATACCCCGTCAGACCAGCATACCCCGTCAGATCAGCATACCCCGTCAGACCAGCATACCCCGTCAGATCAGCATACCCCATCACGTCAGATCAACATACCCCATCAGACCAACATACCCCGTCAGACCAGCATACCCCGTTAGACCAACATACCCCGTCAGACCAGCATACCCCGTCAGATCAGCATACCCCGTCAGACCAACATACCCCATCAGACCAACATACCCCGTCAGATCAGCATACCCCGTCAGACCAACATACCCCGTCAGACCAGCATACCCCGTCAGATCAGCATACCCCATCACGTCAGATCAACATACCCCATCAGACCAACATACCCCGTCAGACCAGCATACCCCGTTAGACCAACATACCCCGTCAGACCAGCATACCCCGTCAGACCAACATACCCCATCAGACCAACATACCCCGTCAGATCAGCATACCCCGTCAGACCAACATACCCCGTCAGACCAACATACCCCATCAGACCAACATACCCCATCAGACCAACATACCCCGTCAGATCAGCATACCCCGTCAGACCAACATACCCCGTCAGACCAGCATACCCCGTCAGATCAGCATACCCCATCACGTCAGATCAACATACCCCATCAGACCAACATACCCCGTCAGACCAGCATACCCCGTCAGACCAGCATACCCCGTTAGATCAGCATACCCTGTCAGACCAGCATACCCCGTCAGATCAGCATACCCCGTCAGACCAGCATATCCCGTCAGATCAGCATACCCCGTCAGACCAGCATACCCCGTCAGATCAGCATACCCCGTCAGACCAACATACCCCGTCAGATCAGCATACCCTGTCAGACCAGCATACCCCGTCAGATCAGCATACCCCGTCAGATCAGCATACCCTGTCAGACCAGCATACCCCGTCAGATCAGCATACCCTGTCAGACCAGCATATCCCGTCAGATCAGCATACCCCGTCATGTCAGACCAGCATACCCCGTCATGTCAGATCGGCATACCCCGTCAGACCAGCATACCCCATCAGATCAGCATACGCTGTCAGACCAGCATACCCCGTCAGATCAGCATACCCAGTCAGACCAGCATACCCCGTCAGACCAGCATACCCCATCAGATCAGCATACGCTGTCAGACCAGCATACCTATAGCTAATACGCATGTGGATGATGTCAGATTTGCGTTTATCCCTTTAGTTTTGTACTAAAAATAAACTTTAAACTACCTCGAGGGGCGTGGATCCCGTAAGTCAGATCACCATATGCTTCAATAAACACCAAAAATTAAGAAATTAAATAGTTTTGTGCATCACTAAAGGGATACACGCCCGTCGAGGAAGTTTAAAGTTTATTTTTCGTACAAAACTAAAGGGATAAACAGGTATTGACTATGGGTATGTTCATCTGACAGAACGCCGGCACTGCAAACAGGATTAAAGTGATAAGATCGCTGTAACTGCATCGCTGTGTGTGATGGTTATAAAAAAGGATTTCATCAAACAGCAGCATCAGCGTTTTTAGTCCCATATCTGATCAGCTAATGAGGCAATATTGGCACCGATACCTGATCTGGGTATCAGATTGGTGCAATTCTTTAAAGTTTATCTGATCTTTGGTGGAGTTTTTTTTTTTTTTTTTGTTATCAATGCATAAAAATCCTCTAAAAATTCATGATTTGTTAAATAATTCCATTAAGAGCAGTAAAACCACTGATAGTGGGTGCCTTTCCTTCTTTTTCAGAAGCTCGGCTCTATACATTATTAGAAAAGGAGTGAATTTTCCATTTAAACATCTCTACTGTGGGAATGTCCTACCAGCCGGCGGTGGCTGATCTAACTACGGAATAAAATGGTCAAAGTTCTTATTTCTGTTGGAAATATTCAATCAGTTAATGAGCCATTGGTCACCAAACTCTGAACCGTTAGCATGAGAGGTTTGTTATTTTGAGCTACAAGAATCAAGTCATCATCTTTTGGTCATAATATTACTACAGGAATATGGCCGTATTATCATTGCTGATTATCGAGTAACATTTCAAGAAAGAATCAATTCAAAATTAGAAATCATTTCAAACCACATAGACCTAATTATTGAGGGAATTAATCTGAACAAATAAAAATAAACTACCGTATTTTCCGGACTATAAAGGCCAATTGCTACTTCTGACGCATATCATCTGCAACCGTCAAATCTGTCTCTGTGTGCGACCACTTCAAAAAAATCCTGACTAGCGTCGGCACCTGCGCAGACCTCAAGCGGAAGTGCGCAGACAAAAAGCAGCTGTGAATGGTCCTTGGTATGCCTTTCCGGCTGTCTGTGTGGTTGTCCTCCTCGATTCGGTGCCGGGGCACACCATTTCTAAAAACCGAGGAACAAGGTTAATTGAGGAGGTTCGGAAGTACAACCACTTGTACGATGCCTCAGATAAATTATATAAATAAATATATCCTCTTCGATGTCTAGCAACTCTAGACCCATCTCCGTGACCGTGACATCTTGCAGACGCACCTCTGTCATTTTGGAAGATAAACTCCCCCGCTGGCGCCGCCAAAGTTCTCGTGACCATCAGCCGAAGTTCTCGCGAGTTCTTAAATAGGCTCCCCCTTGTGCTTTGGCGGGAAATTGCTGAGCGTCCCTAGAAATTCCCGACCGACGGTGCAGAAGCAAACCAGCAAAACTGGTTCATGACCAGAAACAAGCGACATTTGATGTGTGCAAATGCAGAAGTATAATCTGCCCTTAAGCAGCTACTTTTTTCCACACTTTGAACCACGCAGCTTATTAGAAGGCGCGGCTTTTCGGTGGATTTTTTCCTAGCCGCCAGAGGAGGAAGTGAAACTTGGAAATGAAAAGAATAAATGGCTAATTTTCATTTAGAACAAGAACATGCTAGCAGCAGGAAAATGTCTGGAATTCACACATTTTGACATTTATTTGCCGCTTTAAAGCTGCCGAACCAATGAAGAGACCGAGCTCTACTCCTGCTGAGAGCTAACAAGCTAAAGGGAGTTAGCATTCTTCTTCTTC